AGGCCCCGGCATTCCAGATCTATTCCGGCCTCCTTTTCGGCCTGCCTCTTGCAGTCACGTCATTCAATCGGTACAGCAGATTCAGTGAAGCTGCGTCACGTAGAGTGGCGCTCACAGTGACCTCTTCCTACTTTGATGACTTCAATATGGTGGATTGGTCCTCATCCAAAGGAAGCGGACAATGGGCAGTCGGAGAGCTCAACGAGTGTCTGGGAACGCCGTTTGCCGAAGAGAAGAGGCAACCCATGGCAGTTCAAGGATCCTTCTTGGGCTTGGACCACGACCTTTCCGAAGCCTTGCAGAGGGGGTTCGTCACCTTTTGGGCGAGAGAACGCCTGTTCACCAAAATGTCCGACCTCATCGAGCAATCCGAGACTGCGTCTTCGCTCAAGGCCGGGCTTGCTGCGAAGATGTTTGGCCTGATGAACTTCTTGGAGCAGGGCATGTATGGACGAGTCGGATGCGGTGGCCTCGCTGCTCTGTGTGACAGGCAGCGCAGCAAAGAATCCGACCTCTCGCCGGACATCCTCCAGACGTTTCAGCTTATTCGCGCACTCCTAAAATTTCGTCCTGAGAGGCGCTTTTGGGTGTCCAACCCACCAGTGCAACGCTTCATAGCTGCGAGTGACGCAGCAGAGGAGAAGCCTCAAGCCGGAACCGGAGGTTTCCTCTTGATTTGGCAGCAAGGTGCGAGCCAGGTCCGAGAGGGTTTTGTCGCGGCATGTCCGGAGGAGCTTTATGCCCTTTGGGGACCGGGCGACAAGAAAATTGCACAGCTGGAGCTCAGCATGGTGCTTTTCGCTCTGGTGGCTCGGCCTGCAAGATTTCGCATGAGGCGCGGAATCTGGTACATCGACAACACTGCGGCATTGATGGCCCTCATCCGTGGGAGGTCCGACAACTCTGATTTGTCCCGCCTGGCGCAGTTGATACATTTGTGTCTCTTTGTCTTCCAAACCTGGATATATTGGGAATGGGTGCCGTCCAAATCCAATTGGAGCGACGCCATTAGCAGGCTGGGAGTCGACGACGAATGGCATCAGTCGCACTCCTTCTCCACTAGTTTAGCTTTCTTCCCATTTCAGCTCTGGGCGTTACCGCTGGAAGCAGCTATCCAGGTGTTCGAGTACTTGTAGTGAAGTGCATTGGGGTGAGTGCCTTGGGAGCGTGAGGGTCACCTGAAGGAATCAGGCGTTTCTGACCCGGCTACCGTGGGACCCGGAAGCGGTCCGGATGTTACCAATGCAATTACCTCCTGTGTGTCAGGAGCTGTTCACTGGAACTCAGACTCGGAATTGCCCACAGCTGTGAAGACAAGAAAATACGGAGTGGATGCGAAGTGCTCGTATTGAGTATATGCTCCTTCGGAATGTGCACATGCATTGAGTTAGGCAGGCCTTGGGTGTGCATGTTTCATTTTGAGGATGCAATGTACCGGCTTGCTACATTTTGGCTTAAGACTTGGCTAGAGCCAAACTGGCAAGCTGGAACATTTCTTTTCTCCCACCCGCCCACCCTGAGACACCGAGCTCCCGTGGAGTCATCCGTGTCTTGGGAAGTACCATCCTTCGGAGGTACAGGGGCTGCATGAGAGTCATGCGTCCCGGGAGCGTGAGGGTCACCTGAAGGAATCAGGCGTTTCTGACCCGGCTACCGTGGGACCCGGAAGCGGTCCGGATGTTACCAATGCAATTACCTCCTGTGTGTCAGGAGCTGTTCACTAGAACTCAGACTCGGAATTGCCCACAGCTGTGAAGACAAGAAAATACGGAGTGGATGCGAAGTGCTCGTATTGAGTATATGCTCCTTCGGAATGTTGTTTTGCCATGTCGTTGTTAGTGTTGGTTTGCCTGTTTCTGTTCAGCCTATTTCAGCTTGATTACTAAGTATTTCCGGTTTCATTTTTTTGCTGTTTGTCGTGGTCTGTTGTGGTCTCTTCTTGTTGCTGTCGTCATTGTTGGTGGTGGTGCAGCTGTGGGCACCCCGAACTGTAGGCCCCCCGGATGCAAAAGCTTGGGCCAGGTACTGCCCAGCACATTCACCAGCTTGCTCTGGAGGCACTCCCCCCCCGCCACCCCATCCCCCCCCCGATAGAAAGCTGCCACATTGGTTGCAACGTGCAGCGAAGCGCCTGAGTTTTTCGTCATCTTATGCTGTTTTGTCTTGCTTATTGTACTCGAGCAGTGGAGGTGGGAGTCGATGGTGACATCGGAAGACCCGTGATGCGCTCCCAGGCTTCTGACGTCTCTGTTACTGTTAGAAGCGCCTTCTTGTCTCCTGGGCTTCCTTGGGGCATCCTTTTGTGAGGAGCCGAAGGGAGCTCACCGCATTCACCGCGCTCGCCACACGCGGAGCAGCTTCGTCGAGCACAGGTCCTGGTCTGAGCTGCTGAATGCTGCTGAGTGGCATCGTCAGCTGTGTTTACGGATGTTGTTTGCCTCCAGGCTCTCTTCCTTCTCAACGGGGTTACCAGTGTTTGTTTAGAAACGGACTGTGTTGCTGCTCGTCTGATGGCGATCGCTCGCTTCTATGGGGAATTCCGGGGCTTAAATCCTATTGTCCGGTCGGCGTCAGTATTGGTTAGCCTTGCAAAAGGAAGACCTTCCCGGCCAGCTGCCGTGTGTGTTTTTTTTGCTAGCCTTGGTTGTGGAGGGCGGAGAAAACACTCTCTTGCCGCTTTACGTATGCGTGTCACATGAGTCTGTTCTGATAGTAAGTACTCCGGATCGTACATCAGGGGTGGGGTCTGGTCAGCGAAGACCCTGCAAGCATACCTGCGATGAGGTTGGTATCTTTGGGGGCACCCAATTCTCACCGGTATCAACATTCATCGTTGTCATCAACATCAGCATCATCAGCATCTGCACCATCTTTTCCATTTCTGGTTTTGTTTGTGCACAAAGCATGTATCAGGGCTGGGCAGTCGGCAACTCCCGATTGCTTCCCGTTATTTTTCAACCTGTACATCCCGCTCGCTCTCTCGCTCTCTCGCTCTCTCTCTCGCTGGCTCGCTCGCTCGCTGACTCGCTCGCTCTCTCTTTTGCGTGCGCGCGTGCGTGGGTGGGTGGGTGGGCATATGGCCCAAAAGTAAGCGAGAACAGGATTTGAAAATCAAATCTCTGGCGGGTGGGTGGGTAGGTGCGTGGGCGCATGCGCGCACATGTGCGCGAGTGTGTGTGTGTGTGTGTGTGTGTGTGTGTGTGTGTGCGTGTGTACGTGTGTGCGCATGTGCGTGTGTGCGTGTGTGCGCATGTGCGTGTGTGCGCACGTGGTGCGTGTGTGGTGCGTGTGTGCGTGCGTGTGTGCGTGCGTGTGCGTGTGGGTGTGCGTGTGGGTGTGGGTGTGTGTGTGTGTGTGTGTGTGTGTGTGTGTGTGTGTGTGTGTTTTATTTTGTGTGTGCGCGTGTGTGCGCATTGCGCGTGCGCGTGCGCATTGCGCGTGCGCGTGCGCATTGCGCGTGCGCGTGCGCTTGCGCGTGCGTGTGGGGGTGGGCGTGGGTGTTGGTGTGGGTGTCGGTGCGTGCGTGGGTGTGCTCTTTGTTCGCGTCGCGAACGGTGCAGATACAAGAGAGAACGTGTCCACGCGTCCGAAACAGTTGCAGTCACAGGGAAAGCCTACGCCTTGCCGAGGCAAGGGACAACCAACCAGTCACTGCAGCGCGGCAGCAATGGCTCGGTGGATCTCGGTGGCATGCAGTGATTATCTCAGTGATTTGACATTACGGCCTACAAGGTGTGCACAGGGAATCCAATCTCGTGCTGTGTGCTGTCCTTCCTCCTGCGGCACTTGCGGCGGTCCAATCTGTGCCTTGTTGTCGGGTGGCAGTGTCTTGGAGCAATTGGCGTGCTTGTCGCGATTGCATACCGGTGCAACCCTGCGCAATGAGGGTTCATCTTGTCATCGCCAGTGGCGTCAACCCAAAGCGAGGTGACAGTTGCTGCTTCGTAAGCATACTCTCTTCAGGACGAGAATGCCAATCCCTCAGCAAGTTGTCAACAAATTCTGGCTGCCACCAGCTGGCGCTCGACTCAGCTCAGCATACCGTTCAGGTTCTGCAGAAGTCGGGGCGCCATGCGTCGTGGGCCTGGGTTTTCAGCCGGAAGATGTGTCGCCTGATTGCATGTTTGTGAGGTGCTTTGTGGTCTGTGCATGTGAGTGAGTGAGTGAGTGGGCGAGTGCGTGTGTGAGATGTTGAGAGAGAGACAGAGAGAGAGAGACGTTGACCGCAGGTGTGACGGAATTCCATCCATTCCAGTTTGCTGTCCAGCTAGTTGTGGAAGTTGTGGCGGCGAAGCCTGCAGTAATTTCCCAGGAGGGAGTTTCTTGGCACCAACAGTCTTGGCAGGCCTCATGGCAGAACCGCTTTGCGTCATGAGTGCTCGTGTTGCCAGACGAGCCTCGCAAATTAGGCTTTTTGAAGCCAAGGCGAGAATTGCTGTCATCGCCCAATCGTCGGATCTGGACGGAAGTGCTCAACAGACACAGCGCCGCCGTGCGCGATGTACGGCGACTCCTTTCTTCACCCGCCTGCCACAGTAGTTGCCACGACTGCAACCATGACCAGCACAAGTACAACAACAACGACGGCCACAACCACGACCATCACAGTTACTACAACCACCAGGACGGACACTACCAGCACCTTCACTAGTACCACTATCACAGGCACAACAACCACAACGGTGACCGACACGGAAACGACGACTTCTACGACGCTGACAACCACGACCGAAGTTACAAAAACATCTACAACAACCACTTTCGTCACTCGCCCGTGGACGACACAAGGAAGATGAAGAAGAGGGGGGACGAAGGTTTGTGATAGCTACCGGTTCACGGAATGATGTTTCACCGACACTCCGTAGCGCAGTCGCAGCCCGCAAAAAGGACGCACACATGCGTGAGGCTTCGTACAACCGCTTCCGTGAATCTTTCTTAAAAGTTTGGCACTCAATGAGACGCTCTGCCGCAGCGCTGAGGATCTCAAGAGAGCCTACGCTATGGCATCACCGGCATGGAGCTTTGCGGCTCGCGTTTTGTGCCTGTGTGCATTGGCCGTTGGCCAGGATGACGGAGCAACATTTAACCTTCCGTATGGTTATGACCTCGACACTGCTGGCACAAGTGCGAGCTCCAGTTATGACCTCGACACTGCTGGCACAAGTGCGAGCTCCAGTGTCTTGAACAACTTGTACAGCACAGATGGCCATGAATGCGGTGGCCATGAGGAGCAGTGGACGAGATGTGAGGACCTCCCGGAGTGCGACACCTGCCAGCCTGTGGATTGCATGTTCTCGGAGTGGAGCGACTGGTGGCCAGGAGCTGGCTGCATCGGTCTCATGTTTCGCCACCGAAGCATTGCAGTTCCTAGCAATCAATGTGGCTTGCCGTGCTATGGCTCTGGCATCGAGTCGAAACGTTGGTTTGCCGCTGAGTGTGGCGGAACAGCGCATGATTGCATTATGTCAGCCTGGGAGCCGTGGAGTTCTTGCAAAAGCGAAAAGGATCAGTCGATAAGGAAGCGTTCGGTTGAAAGGCCATCGTCCAATAGCGGTGAGCCCTGCATGGGTTCGACCTCAGAGACCAGACCCTGTGGAGGACCACGGCCTCAACCGTGCATCTTTGACCCATGGCAGTCTTGGACCACTTGCAGCGTTTCCTGTGGCCAAGGTAGGTTCACACGTCTCCGCAAGATCCGGAGTGAGGGCCATCTGAGTGGGCAAACGTGTGAGAGCTCTCTTTTGGAGACTCACATTTGCCAGCTGAGGCCATGTGTGTCGAAGGACTGCTTGCTTTCTCCTTGGACGGATTGGAGCTTCTGTGGAGCGGCAGGCATCCAGCGCATGAGGCACAGATCTGTCCTACAGAACCCTGAAGGGCTCGGTATGGGATGTGATTCCAGCTTGGTCGAGACGAGTGGCTGTTCGAGCAAGGCTCCGCATCACTGTGAAGTCACATCCTGGTCTGATTGGTCGACATGTGACCGCACATGCCACGGCGGGCAGAAGTTTCGTTCACGAGAGCTCGTTCATGGAAAGTCTCGAAGGAATTTCTGCTCAGCCATAAAGCTGAAGCAAGCAGCCGCCTGCTCAACACGCCAGTGCTATTCACATTCCCTTGACTGTGAGTTGAACGACTGGACTTCATGGGCCGCATGCTCATCCAAGGTCGGGTTCGGGGTAACTCACAGAAAGCGAACCATTCGGAGACCTGCTGGGCTTGATGCGTCCGGGTGCTATGGCGTTGTGGGGGAAATGGCTGCATGCAAGCTCTCACCCCCAAGACCAATAGACTGCATCTGGGGCGTGTGGAGTGAATGGAGCGGCTGTTCCTGCTCGTGTGGAGGTGGCACCAAAAGACGTAGCCGTGCGATTGAGATGTCGCCACAGAATGGAGGAGCACCTTGCCAGGCCAAAGACAAGGAGGTCATAGCTGTCTGCAACACAATGAAGTGTGATACTACATGCGAAGATGGCTACTGGGGTGCCTGGATGGATTGGACGCATTGCTCAGCCACATGCTCTTCAAGCTACCGCTCCCGCCGACGATCTCTGGAGGCAAGCTTTAAGAAATGCAAATCATGGTACTGCTGACTAAAGGCCATTGGGCTTGATTGTCTCGTAGTAGATTCACTTGCATGAAGCATGCGTGAGTCCGTATTGCGCTCCTTGCCTTTCCCAGCATGCTCAGCACTTCCACGCGCGAATGTGTCTGCGCCTGCGTGGCAGGTTCTTCCCAATACCTGTGGCTCCGTCCCGACTGGATTGCGAGAACAGTTTGAACTGTGCGATGATCTGGATGATTGCGGGAACGACAAAGATTGCACGCTATCTTCTTGGGGCCAGTGGTCAGAGTGTAGTTGTAGTTGCAATGGAGTTCGTGAGCGAAACCGCCACATTACAGAGTATGCCAGAGGTCAAGGGCGGCCATGCGACGACATGCAGCTCAAGGTGATTGAGCAGTGTAACCCGGTGGAGGGCGCACAGCCACCAGAAGCTTGTCAGACAGAGACGCAGGATTGTGTTCTACGTCCGTGGCAAGAATGGAGTACATGTTCGACGACTTGTGGGCCCGGGCAGCAGACCCGAAAGCGAAGCATTGCCCATCATTCAGTCCATGGCGGTAAACCTTGTCAGGGAGACTTAATGCACACCCGGGAGTGCGATGTTCAGCCTTGCCATACGGGTGGTACGCAGGATTGCGTTGTTGGCGCTTGGTCAGAGTGGGGCAGCTGCAGTCATTGTGGCGGACAACGATGGCGGCATCGAGTCATCGTTTCTTTGCCAAACTATCGTGGCAGGCTTTGCGAAGATCGGAGCATGAAGGAGGTATCAAACTGCACTTCAGTCTGCCACGAAACTCATCTGTGCGCTTGGTCGGAATGGTCTCACATGCAGTGCTCTGACCAGTGTGGGAGCTGGACGACTCTCCGCAGCAGAGAGATGAGGCTGCTCCCCAAGCAGGTCTACCCGAGCAGCTACTTCTTCAAGGGCGACAAGCATTCGAGCTGTTTTGGCTCACAGGTTGACGTGGCCCAGTGTCCCGCCAAGACCTCCTGTGAACATTGCTCTCCTCGGCATTGCAGCTTCAGTGCGTGGAGTGGTTGGACGGATGCAACATGTGTCGGTCTCTGCGAGAGGCAGCGGGTCATTGGCCAGATGAACAATGAGTGTGGCAGGCCATGCCAGGGCCCGCTGCTCGAGACCAAGCACTGTCACACGGATTGTGGCCATGCGGTTGACTGCAAACTTTCAGAGTGGACCCCGTGGGGTCATTGCACGAACCTTACGTCGGCTGCCATCAAGGGCCAGCACTATCGTCATCGCCACATAGTCGTGAAACCTGAGAAAGGCGGGTTGGCCTGTAGTGGAGACTTGCTACAAACCAAGCCGTGTGAAGCTGAAATGCCTGAGCCTTGTTTATTCGCACCTTGGCTTACATGGTCTCAGTGCTCGGCGGTTTGTGGTGAAGGCACGCGGATGCGGACTCGGCATCTGCATCAGGTTGCCGAGGATGGTGGCAGACAGTGCCACGGACCCCTGCAGCAGGCGCAAGCCTGCCGCGGCTGGCACGAAGGTTGTGAAAGCCACACTCGTGAAGATTGCCGGCTTGGTGATTGGAGGGATTGGACCTCCTGCGGCATTGGTAAGCAACGAGAGCGAAGGCGCGTCATCGACAACGAAGCTCTTGCAGGCGGAAAGCCTTGCTTTGGATCGTTGTTGGAGACGGAAAGCTGTCGTGAGGATGTCGATTGTGCAATATCTGCTTGGACCGACTGGGATGTATGTTCCTCATCATGCGGCAGCGGGCATTCTCGTCGGCAGCGTCAAATATCCAAGTTCCCTGAGTTCGGTGGAAAGCTCTGTCCTGAAGACTTGATTCAGATCAGGGCATGTACGTCCAAACCGTGCCAGTCAGAGGACTGCGAAGTTTCGCAGTGGCTCGAATGGACCCTTTGCTCGGCTTCATGTGGCTCAGGGCATCAATCTCGCAGTCGCCGCGTCCTCAAACTTCGCGGTCCCGGAGGCGAAGGATGCTTCGCTGCCTTGGCTCAGAATCGGATTTGCCATGGCCGCAGTTGTGTCACGGACTGTGACTGGGGTGCCTGGCAAGCCTGGTCTGCTTGCTCCCAAACATGTGGAGGTGGAGTAATGAAGCGCAGCCGAAATCTTCAATCTATGCCAAGTGCGGGTGGCGCTACATGCTCTCAAAAGGCTTTGTCCGAAGTGTTGCCATGCAATCTTGGCGCCTGTGGCATGCAGTGCGAGGATGGAGCTTGGGAGGAGTGGGAAGAGTGGGCCCCTTGCTCTCGGACGTGCAATGGAGGAGAAACCTTCAGGCGTCGTCAAGTTGCAGTGATGGCAAACAGCTGCGGCTCCCCAGCAGTTGGTGAAAGCAGGGAGAGCAAGTTCTGCAACGTGGCCATTCCATGCCACGCCTCCAAGGACTGTCTCCTGACGGCATGGAGCTCTTGGAATGCTTGTTCATCAACCTGCGAAGGAGTTTCGATGCGCTCGCGAGAGGTTGCTGAGTTTGGTCACGGTGATGGGCTGTTCTGCTCAGGAGCTTTGAAAGAGCTAGCGCCTTGCAACCCTGCCAGAGAGAATCAGCAGCTTGACGAGTGTGTTCGTGGCCCACCTGTGGATTGCCAGCTTCAGCCATGGGGACATTGGACAGATTGTACAGCCACTTGCGGCGGTGGTGAGCGCCAACGAAGTCGCCAGATTGCGCAAGAGGCCTACAACGGGGGCTTCGGTTGTCAGGAGCCGCTGCTGGAGGTCCTGGAGTGTGCCCGAAGCTTATGCTACGAAGCGCATGATCCCGTGGACTGCGTCCTGGGAGAGTGGCACAGTTGGGGGGCTTGCAACTCTTGCGGAGGCGAGAGGACACGAATCCGGCACATATTGATGTTTGCTCAAAACGGTGGCAGCGAGTGTCCGCCAGCTGATGTGGTGCAGACAACCGCGTGCCCGCACAGCTGCGCAACACAGGCAGCATGTACCTGGGCTGTGTGGGGATCTTGGGGCCAATGCTCCATGTCTTGCGGAGTAGGGGGGCGACGGAAGCGAACCCGAAGCCTCAGCAAGGTCATTACACCTGTTGAGTATGCCCGGTCGTCTCCCAGATACTACCATTCAAGCCGATGGAACATGTTACAAGAGTATGGTGCACTGCATCGTCAGGTGCAACAGCTTGAGGGCAAACATGGACAAGAAGTTGTTCTCTCTTTCTTGTCTGGTGGTGTGAGCATGCTTATCCTGCTGGGTGTGCTGATGAGAGCTGTCAGTGTTGGACGCCAAGTCACTGTAGCCGCCGAAGAGCAAGCTCGTGATGACTCGGAAGCGCCACTTTTCCCCCAGTGAGCAGAAAGTTTTTCTTGGGATGCTTGTCGCAGTTTTGCCAAAGCTGCAGTGCGGCAACATCCTCAGATGCATCCGGCCAAGTGTTTCACCTAGGTTCTAGATGAAGTCAGCAAGGTTGACTGTCGAGGATTCCTGTTGAAATCTGTTGATCACTCTGACGTGATCTGTAGCATGAGAACAAGTGTAGGACAGACTGAAGCTGCTGGCAAACCTGCTCGTGCAACCGCAGTGCTTGTGCCAAGCTGTGTTCACAGAGCTTCTGCATCGAAGCAAGCCTTGAACTGCAGCCTTCGAAGCCAACTGGTTCAACTGCAAGCGCTTTAGTAAAGTCCAGTCCCATACCAAGGGTCGTGCATGAGTACATCTGCTCCGAACGTGGACCTGAAGCCGGATCCTCATGCAGTCGATGTGAAGGTGTGTTAAATGCCGCTGGGCTGCCGCTTTCTAGAGATCTGCTTTGCTTTTTCGTCTCACTGTGGCGACGTTGCTGACTTGCTTCACGATTTGATGGGTTCGAACGTGCTTCGCGCAACGTGATATAACACCACTTGTCATCTGATTTCTGCCACGGTGGTTGCGGTTTAGTGGCATTCCTGCTTCAGAAGCGGCTAATCCTCTGCTTGAAAAGCGTCTTGAACATCTGTGAGCATCAGTCAAACTCCGTTTGCTTGTAAGCTAATCAGGGTGAGACATCAAGCAAAAACAGGTCTTCCTCGATTGGAGAGCGAAACAGATTCGAGCCCTCATGGCTTGGCATCGGTATCGGTGGGACAAATGGAGAGTTCATGGCAAAGTGACACCAAAACGATGGCCGTTTTTAAACAACCTTACCTTCACCTTCACCGGAGAATCCAGTTCAGACGGATGCTCATGTGGAGCATTGTGGGCCCAACGCATTCGGCGCGAGCTAGCTGGTTGTGTGGCGAGGGCCAGGGTATTGTAGACTTCTCAGCTGCGTCGAGAGTGAGGGTGGATATCGCTGAGATAAGAACATGTCGTGGCTTGCCTGCTTGGCTTGACACTTGCACCCTCGTGGAACTTAACAGAGGAAAAGCCGAAGCTGTTGTTTTGGTGCTGTGCACTTCTGCCGGCATGGCTTTGTTGTGTCGCTGTCTGTGTGGGTGGAGAGGCAGGAACGCTGGTACGGAGCATCCAACAAGAAGTGCATGTTCAACACCGCCTCCAAAGCTTGAAGCACTAGCAGTCGGCAGTTTTTGAACCTGTCAGGTCACGTGGTCTTCCGACGACATCTGTCGTAGCATTAGCAGCTGCCCAAGGCAGATTCTCAAAGATTGAGAGTGCCAGTCAGATGCAGTCAGGTTACGTCAGTCCTTGGGCTGGCCTTCTTCAGTGCTTCGCACGGTGGTAGTGATGAAGACGAGGCCAGAAAACAAGACCTGCTCGCACGAAATACCCGGCAGCACCCCTTTCCAATATCAGCTGCAACTTGAAGTTGTAGTCGTAGTTGTTGGTACGGATCGCGTGCTTTTCTTGATCTGAGGTCGGAAACGCTGGCAGGCGTAGCAAAGTCATGGACTTTGGGGTGGGTGGGGCGGGGGGGGGGGAATAGCCCTGTTTTTCCAAAACGCGATTGTGCTGTTTTCTTGGCGCGCGAACATGATAACATCGGTGTTACGCGTGCGTGCGAATGGCCAGAGCATCCATGCCCGCAAGATGATAACGTCTCCGTTGCCAGTGCGTGTGAATGTTTGGGGTTTAGGGTTTGGTGTTTTTGGTCTTTGCACTCCACGGTTCTTGGGGTTTCAGCTTTGGGTGCAAGGTTCAGGGTTTGCAGTTTCACAACCAACACATGGTGCACCCATAAACTGGTAGCACGGACGTTCGTGCTCGTTGAACAAAAACGCTTACGTTTACCTTTTTGTGGGTGTTTAGTCCACAAGAGTTCCAAAACATATGACGCGGAACCCTAGCGAGAACACATTATTGAAGAACAAACTGCTAAACAATGCACAAAAGTCCATGAGTCATATTTGGACAGCTGGACGCTTGATTTTGAACATGTTACGGCATCTATGAATCTATGTGCTCAAAAACCCAAACGAAAACACATTTTTTCCACAACATTGTTGAAAACAGCGAAATGGCGGGGCTATTACTCCCCCGCCCCCCCCCCCACCCTAAGTCCATCACTTTGCCAGGTTTTAGACCTCCCAGGACAAGAAAAGCACGCGATACGTTAGGGGATCGTGACCTACTTGTTGTTGCTGTTTACGACGTCAAAGGAGACTTGTACTTGGGTTTCTCTCAGGCTGCAGGAGCTAGTTCAGTCGCATGGCTGCTGTGGACAGCCATGCGGTTGGGGCAGCTGCTGCCCCTGCCCTATTTTTTGCTTCCCTGAATCTGGCTGAGTTGACAGGGGTCGGTTGATAGGAAGAGAGTGGCCAGATCACGACACACAGCAGACAATGCCGAGGTTGGCGCTCGTTGTGTTGTTCGTGGTCGCGTGATGCTCGGCCATTACAGTTTCCTGGCATTTGCTGCTTCACGACAGGCTGGTCTCTCGTTTTCATGTGCAAGGTCCTTGTCTCTCGCCAGCGCTCCATCCTGTACGTGTTGGAGCCTGGGCTTGTCATGTGGACAGAACACAAGTGCACCGAGTTTGAGACTTGTGGCGTGCAGCAAGCAGTTCGCCTCAGAAAGCCTCAGTAAGGCCGGTAAGCTTGTGCACCGGATGCGAAGTGTTGTGCTGTGTTGCGCTGTGTTGCGCTCCAACATTGACATCGAGGCCAGTTCCACCTGGGACGCAGCGCTCGCCGCGAATGGGTCCGAGAATGTTTCGAAGCCCAGAGGCGAAGACAAAGCGAAGAAGCCGCCGCTCCGACACTCCTGAAGTTCGCAGCAAACTAAACTTGGTACATTTTAGCACGCTCCATCACATCTGGCCACAGGAGTGGCAGCTACCTTATGAGGATGTCTCCATCGTAACTGAGGATGGTGTAAGGCCACCGCGGATTTTTTTCAGGCAGTTTGTGTGCTGTGGAGAGATTGCACCCTTGTGAGCTGCCAGGCTTGCGGCTTGGTTTGTGTACCAGCCAGCTGTCAGCCCCAACCTCAGCACCGGGCAACGTCAAATATGAACTCGTCTTGGGTTCATTGGATGTCATTGCTGATAATTCGGCTGCTGGAACTGGAAGGCTGATTGCTTAGAGAGGTAAACAGAAGCTGTCCAGACGTTGAGTCGTTCTAATCATTCTAATCTTACTTGCAGCTCTGTATGTATCTGACAAGCTGCTAAAAGTTGCCTCTCCAGCATCCTGCGGATAGGTGCTTTTTCAGCTCTGGCGGCTTTTATTCAGCTTTTGGTATCTCTTTGTCACAATCTGCCTTATCCTACGTAGGGAGCAGCAAGTTTTCGGGCCCCCAGTCCCCAGCATTTTTTTTGGCTTGTTCAAGCTTTCTCCTGGGGAGACGCCAGTTTTCGGGCCCTGGTCAAAGCGGCAAAACGGTAGCTGCAACCAAAACGTGAGCTGAACGGCTTGCCGTGATTGATCGACCACGTGAGAAGCCTCAAGCCTCAAGCGGGATGGGAGGCGGCAACCTAAGATACACAAGCGGCGCAGCAAAGAAGCAAGGAAGAATAGACCGTATGTGATGCCCGCCACCGGCACTGGGATTCCTCGTGGCACCAGTGGCATCGTGTCTCAATGAGGTTCAGCGGGCGCCGTGCCGTACACCGTTCTGCCTGCTGCCTGGATTGCTTCAGGATTGGTATCTGATTGTGTGAGCCAGACGGGCAAGGTATTTCCATGGAAATGCTGGTGTCAGCCTTAACCTGTCGACCAGACTGTTGCACAGAATTCACGGTTCATGTACCTGCTTCCGCCGGCCGGGTTCAACATCGTGTCGGCCTGTTGGACACGCGAGGAAACATTGGCCACCGCTTGGAGAACGTGAAAGACATGTACAAGCAGCCGGGATCTACGCCATGAAGTCAACTCGTTCGGATCGTTGGAAGAGTTGCGTAATGCATTGTGCTGCTTGCGACAAGTCTCCGCCAAGTCTCCAAGGTTGGCCGTCAATGTCTTGATTTTTGACTATCGTGGCTATGGTGATTCCGAGGAGTTCCTGGTTCCCTTCCGTTGATGAATACTGATAGAATGGTATCTTCGGATCGCTGGCATCGTGGATGTCTGCTGCTGCCGCTTGTACAAGCATGCTTCAGCATGCTTCAGCTGCCGCTCGAAGGATGGAAGCGGACCATCGGAGAGGGGCTTCCTGCAGGAGCTTGGGCTTGGTGAACAGCACTGATGTAGGATGGACATGGGTGGACATGCATTGGCGTTGAACATGACTTGAACAGCACTGAACAGTATTGAGCAGTGTTGAACATCATTGGGCCATGCGTGGGTTGGGATGTAGGCATCGCGGGAGGATGCAAAGGCTGCGTGCCGATGGCTGGTGCAGCGAGCTCGACAGTCAGGCTCGGTGCACTCGTGTGTCGACGGGCAGGCGTGCATGACAGGGCGCGTGGCCATACATTGAAAGCAGATCTACAATCTAAGTAGAAAGCAATGCAACCGGTTTGAAAGCCTTACCTCCTTAGTGGAATCCATTAGCTATCCGGCGCACGGTTTGCTACACACAGCCCGCTGGCGGCATAAGCCATGCCATGGACATCTATGGACCTCTGTCATGGAAGCTGCCTATTCTCTGGCAAACGCGCAACCGTTTCGTTCCAGAGTTTTGCGCTTCTTTTCTGGCATGTCGAGAAGCCTGCGAAGCAGGTTGGCATGAGATACAAGCTCACAACCTTGCTCGGGAAACCATCTGACAATGTGCTTGACAAGATATTGTGTGGACTTGGATGGCTGTTTCGAGGCACCAGCGGCTGCTCCATGCGAATTCGTGCGAGCTTGAGATTTGAAACATCTGACGTCTGCGGAGCATGTCCGCTGCATGACATGTGCTCGCAGCAGCCGTGACGTGATGAGCTCAGGCGAAGATCGAATTCTGTTCTTTGGGCGCTCTATCGGGGGTGCGGTGGCGATCAAACTTGCTGCTCATACGCTGCTTGGCGCTGTCATGCTTCTGGTGTTTGGGGGACCGCACTTCCCGGAACCAGGATGTGGTTGTGAAATGTTGCGGATACTGCAGGGAGATGCGTTGCTTTTCTTTCTCTGCGGTGTTGCATAATCTTGAGATCTTCAATTTTTCTTTCACTGTGGTTCGCTGCAGCAGTATAAATATCTGTGAAGAGAGCATGAAAGTCGTTACGAGTGGAGTAGCCCTTGTTCATGAGACTGTGATCTTCAAGGCTGAAACAGAAGCGCGATGAGGCCCTGCATCAGATGCATGTCCTGACGTACATGAGCAAAGGACTGTTGCGATGTGAATGTATGTGATGGAATCTCAACAAAGCAAGATAGGAAGAAGTAGAACTAGATAAAGCAAAAGATGGGGATCAGTGGCGAAATCCAGGCACATGTCTGTTAACAAGTTGTCGCAGCGCGCTTCGCCTCAGTTGGGGCTCCAGCCTGAGGAGCAAGCAAGTGAGGCCAAATGAACAAAACCAAGTTCCGGCGTCGGGCTTCCATGCTTCAGGGGTTTTGGCTTGGGCATTTCCAAGCCTCGTTGACCACGGATCTATGAGCTGCTTGCGAAGCATCGAGCAGCTGAACGCAGCATGCACTGCGCGGCATGCGCGATATCCTCAAAGGAAAGCGCATTGTTGGGGTGATCCCATGCTCGGTTCACATGTTCGGTTTAAGACCGGTCACAACCTTTGCTTGGGTTGCGGAGCCGAGTGGATCTACATAGGTATGATGTTGTGCCCTCTGGATGCAACGGCAGAGAGAACGAGATGACGTTGTGCCGTTTTGGTTTGCTTGCTCGGCCGTGCTCTGCTCGGCCCTTTCTCAGTAGATGCGAACCTGGAATTGTACGGGCCGTGCACTCGGAAAGAAGGAGCAGGGGTCAAGCAGTGAAGTTGATTTTTGAACCTTTTCAGCATGCTCATCGTCTTCGGACGCAACCGTTGCTTCTGAAGAGTGCCTTTCCAGGGACAAACTCGAGCTGCATTTATTGGCAGAAGACTGTATGTAGCTCTGTCAGAAGAAGCCTTGGGATTTCCCATGAATTCCAGAAAGTTCTTGTCAAAGATCTCCCCTCGCTGAAGCAGGCTCAGAGCAAAAACAAGAAATCTGCTAGAAGGAAAACCCTTACCGTGAAGAATGTTTATGGCTCTAACATCCGTCGGTTGGGATGCACTAAAACCATCAATGCTCCTGTACGCCTCCGTGAGGCAGGCTCTGGAATCTCAACTTTGAGCTCTAAATCTCAGCGCCCCACAACTTTTGACGACTACTTGGCCAATCAAGTTTGGCACTCGGAAGCAGACTGTCTATTCACGCGCCTTTCCCAGAAGAGCCGGGCGTCAACGCGCAAGTGAACAATATCAAATGTGACTCCGCCCTTTGGCGGCTCAAGTACAGCAAGCTTCCAGCTGGCTTGGAGGAGCCTGTTTTTTTTCTCTCACTGTTTGGGAAGTTTCTTTGGGGCACCCGTACCTTCGGTGAGACGTCCTTGCCGCGATGTGGCGCGTGCCTCCACTGAGTCAGATGCGGTCTTGCCATGTCCAGGCCTTTAACTGATGGCACCGTTTGCCGCCCACTTCCTTTTTTGGGCGTTTTGGGGTTAGGGGTGAGGTGCCTTCAGAACCTTCTCAGCTGTTGGAATAGCAGCACATGTGCCTTAATTGTATTATCATTGCATGTCGCAGTGCTGGCAGAGAAAAAACCCCTGCACAAACACATCCTTGTTTCTTCATGTCATGTGTCCATAGGCATGTCTTGGTGCCCTGGTTTCAGGCAGCAGACCTGCCGCTGCCAGCAGGTATTGTGTTAGAGAACACATTCACGTCATTGCCGCAGCCTTACAGATAGCCAGGCATAGCTTGTAGTCGCTCGACCCAACCCCCTCGACTTTCCAACTTGAGGCGAGACATGGCCCTGCAGATGTTTCCCTTCCTGTCGCCGCTCAGGCCAAGCAGCCTGAAATGCTGACAAGTCGAAGATGCGCATAGGGAGACAGACGTGAGTTAGGCAATGTTAGGCAGAGAGGCCGGAAATAACAAACCAGCCCACGCGGCTGGGAACTCAAAGCATCTTAAATGTTAGGATGCTCAGGCCGTTGCTGCGAGCGCCTTTGATTTTTGACGAGTGGACATCTGCTGACAGCCAGAGCCTCGTACACTCTGGGGTTGCGCAGCACCAAATGTCTGCACACGTGCCTGGCACATGCAGCTGAGGCCTGCAATACTTTGCGAACAATCATGAGCTCTGGTGCTGCTGCTTGTTTAGCGGCTTGCAGGCCTGGGACGCCTAGGCGAAACAGTTTGGCATGCGAACGTTGCTGCACTTTTGGCATCAAGCACTGTAGCGAGGACCAGATAGTACCTCCAGCACAGATGAAGGAGCTCTACACTTTGTTGCCTTTCGGCTGCACCTTGCGACTATCGCACCATGCACACGACAGTGTGCTCTGGTTTGCATGGCTTAGTGAATCTTGACATTGTTGGTTGCATGTGGATCTTGGATCTGACTTTTGTAAAAGGTCGAAACGCCGCCCAAAGGTTCTGAAGCCAGAGACTCAGTCGATCGATCGTTTGTTGCGTCCAAACCTGTGACCTTTTGCATTCTATGGAAGTTGCCGCACATCACTACTGTGTTGCTATATGCAAAGATGCTGTCCGCTGACTCTCGGTGTTCATGTCTTTATGTCCTTCTTTGTCGGTCACACCCCAGACCGCGCATGTCTTTCAGCATGAGGCCAGGGCAATCAATACAACCTTAGCAGAACACAAAAAGCACTGGCAAACTCTACGATACTCCACCGCAACCAAGGTATGGTCCTCAGTCACATCCTGCTAGACTTGCCAGAGGTGGAGCCTGGCTTATGTCAGCTTGATGCCGAGGTGCTTCAACTTCCCCTTGGGTGGCCATAACGACACGCCTCAGATCGGTGGCGCTGACTATTGGGCGCCTGGTCCCTGCGTGTGACCGAGATTGCTGCGCTTGCTAGTGGGTGCAATCGCAGCCCAGGTCTTTCAAAAAGTTCATGGGTCTCGTGAGAGATAGTGAGGCGGAACGTGAGAAGTCTTCAAAAGATTAGCCAATCGCTATGCAAGAAAGGAACTCCTAGGAAGCTTTCATGTTTCTAATAGCAGCGAATGGCTATTCGAAGTGTCTAGGATCCTGTCAAGTTTTAGGCAGGCATGTCTCACCCTTTGTGCAAACACTGTCGTCGACTGTGCTCGGTTTTTCTGGTGTGCTTGTCGGGATAGCGACGTGGGTCTCCTTCTTCGAGAACTTGTCGTGAGCATGCGGCCCAGCAAACACAGATCATCTTGCAGCAGCTCGCACAGACATGTACAGGCAACATTATAGTCCCAGGTGGTCAAGCACGACGCTCAGGCAGCATTCTACTTTCTCGTGCAGTTTCATGAGTGCTTCAAGCCTTCATGGACCACTGAAAGCCGCACCGTTTCGCTACGTTTGCGCCTTACAGCCTTTCGGCACGATTTGACACCCTGTGTGCCTTGTGGTCTAAGCTTGCTTTGTGAGTGTGTTCTACTCGCAGGATGGGGCAGCTGGACATGCCCTTAGAATCATACCCAGCCTTGCAGAGCACGCATTGGTAGGGTTCCTCTCAGCAGAAGTTCGAGCGGCACGGTGCAGAGTTGGGTTGCGGGTTGCGTGTCGCCCGTCATTGAAATTGCTGGCATGGGCCGGGCAGAAAAACTCATTTGCCAGTATGTTCTGGAGCTGCTTAGGTTGATAAAGCGGTTTTCAGGTCTAGGTTTGAATGATGCGTAGTTGCACGGCGTGGTCGCAAGTGCTATCCCACGCGCTTGACGTTCGAATGCCTGGGAGAGAGCGAGGTTGGAATGAGAACGTCTGGGAAGGGGTGAATTTTGACATAATCCCACATCACTCTTGTACACTTCCGGCATCATTAGGGGGTGGGCGAGTAAAAACAATGATATACACGTGTGTTTGGGCATGGCTGGGTATCATGAGAAGGGTTGGGAATATTTAGGTTTTGTTGTTTTGGGGTGCGTCGGCCCGGCTAGGGTTCTAGGCTTTACGGGTTCGTGTTTGGTGTATGCAGGTTTGAGAGAGAGAGGGTTTGTGTTTTTGGGTTCCTTTAATGGAAAAGGGTAGAAATCTCTTGACATGAAACGCTCGTGTGGGCTAAGAAAAATCCGAATCGCATTGCGGCCTACGTCGCTTCCTCCACCGGCGTGGGAGCGTAGCGGCATGTAGCGGCGTGACGTTTCGACATCCGTTTCCTGGCTTTGCTTCCTGAAATTGGGGGGCCGAATTTCTTAGCATTGGGATGCTGCCCTGTAGTTCCAGTACTGCTGGGGGGTGGTCCCGATGATGTGCTGGTTCACAGTGCAGTCGCGCTCACTTGCTCAGACTCAGAGACAGCGCCGAGTAATTTCTTAGCAGACAGGGAGCGGGTCGGGTGAAACCCAGCTCAGATTATCGACGAGCGCCGGTCCCGGCCAGCTTAAACCGCCTGAAAATCTCTGAAAGCCCTCAAAAGCAAAACGTCGAGCCGTCGAGCCAAGCCCAGTCCAACTGGCAGCGTGGGTGGTTCCATGACTCCCTCAAAGCCCCGAAAGGCAAAGGATGGCAAAGGAGATGTCTGCGGGACCGCTTCGAAAGTCGGTTGTTAGGCGTCCAATTGGATTGCAAGACGAAGCAGAGTGCCAAAGAATGTCCTGCAGAGATGGATGTCTTAAAGCAGAGCTCCGAGCGCTTGAAATCCGAAGCGCAGTCGACAGTGCGACTGTGAGCAACGAAATCCAGACAAAACAAAAGTACAGGGAGAGCGAGGTAGAGAGAGCGAGCGAGAGCGAGAGAGACAGAGACAGACAGACGGACAGAGAGAGAGAGAGAGAGAGAGAGAATGACACTGGGGAGTGGCGCGCCCTCCGGGGCAGCTCTCCCTTCGGGGGGGGCTAAGCGTGCGGAGAGAGAGAGCGAGAGAGAGAGAACGAACACCGAGGAGTTGAAACTCTCGGAACGCTGCTCCACCATGGAGGTCCAACCATCTTCTTTGCTGTGTGTGGTGGTTGGCAGCTGAGCTGAAGCTTTTAGGCTCTCACACGTCGCCGAAAGGTTTGCTCTTCCGTTGGTGAAGGGAGGGAGCGCATCGATACGGCGCAGGCCCATGAGTATCAAGCAGTCTCGGGGTAGTCTCAGCATCTAGTTGCGTTGAGCCAGTGTTTCGTGCGGATGGTTGCGTGAGGCATTCTCCTGGACCAAGAAAGTCATGTCATGCAGCAGAGATCACTCTTCGCGATCACCCTAAGTCCAGTATTTGCTAGATTGCTGTAGTGTGGCGGCGAGGGGAGGGAACAATTCAAGAAGGGTTCGCCAAAAAACAGAAGGATGCCAAAGAGCGACGGGCCGAAGACACCTGCAAGACATCACAGTGAATCTAAAGGGATAAGCTTGTGCCAGTATGTGCCGGTCAGGGTTCAGTCAGAAGACGCAAGTCCGAAGTGGTTCGCCAGATCATGGAAAAGGGCATGTAAAGAAATGCCGCTACTTTCGCTGGAAAGCGTGACTGGAGTGCCAGACACATGCCTTACCCAGGCTTTTGCTCGACGGCATGTCTATTTTTCGGGGTCGTTCCTGGCTTTCCGTCGGAAGCGCCTCGCTTTCTTTCTAAAGGAGAGGCCAGCACGGCAGCTTTAGTATATTATGAGTCTGGACGGCCACATGTGCTGTAGCGGCTGTTTCGCTGAAGTCAGAAAGCGATGCTGTGAAGGGTTTTGGAAGATACCGATGTAGCGCTTCGGACATGTGACACAGGGTTTGCATAATTCACGCCAGCAGCCAGCACCTCTTGGACGCCTTTGCCGCCTTCCGAAACGGAAAGATGCCTGGATGTAAATTTTATAATGAAGCCACACTCCGAAGGCAAGCAGGTGTCCTTAGTCAGTCCCAGGGACGTCATCACAGTTCGCAGTCTCGATATCCAAAAATGTGCGGATGCCCGACTTGATCTCTCCCCTGTGCTTGCGGCCAGCTGGCGTGTCGACCCGGCTTGGCCACCGCCAGGGAGGGGACATGAAGGGACCATTGGACCATGCGAGCACGGCTGGCAGACGACATCGCCAGTGCCATGCCGTGCCCTGCGATTCTCCTTGTTGATGTTGCCATCCATGGCAGCCATGCCGCATCCGCCGAGTGCCGACAGAGCTTCACATCAACTGTAGGGCCTACTGTAGGATGCTCCTTCGCGTGATTGGGTTTCGCCCTTGGCCGCAAGACCCACCCACAACCAGCGTCAACCAGCGCCGGGCAACACCAGTCACGCGTGAACAAGCTGTATGGGTCGAGGACATGGGCTGATGCACAGGTGGGGAACCTTCCACACTCCGGACACCAGTCGCTCGTCGTCTGCCTTTAGAACCCGGGCGGAGACTATCGCCGACCCGCCTGTGCTGACAGGCGGCGGGGGAGGGGTTTAACTTGCATCGCTCTGTGTAAAAAATACACATCGATCGGCGTCCACATTGGGGCTTTGCACTTCGGAACAGGACCTGGCAATGATTCAAGGTGCTCCAATTTTCAATCGATGGGGCATCAACAAGGGGATCTCTCATGCAAATGCAAATACCTCGTCATAGGAGGAACAATTGGTCCTGCACTCAACGCTGAAGTGTCTACATGGGCATCATGGGGGTCGAGCAAATGGCAGCATGTGACCTGGGCTGGATCCAGTGGCAGTTCTCTCCTTTCCGTCTCCCCAAATGAGCAGCGGTCTATGTCTGCGGTTGTGACAGCACAAACGCATCCGCAAACAACGACGGCCCTTGTGTCCAAAACTCATCGCTTTGTGCTCGCGGAAGCAGGTGGAAGGTTCGCAGAAGTCCTTGGCTTGCGGAAGCGCTTGCGGAAGTTGAGCTTTTCGCAATACAAGAGGGGCGTCCGTCGCAGGGTTCGGTTCACTGGACGCACAACCCTGAAGCCCTGACCCGAACAAGGTCCGATGCCTAATTGATGTGAGCATGGCCTGAAACATCAGTGTCCGCGAGGTTTGGTGGATTTCGAACAATCAGTGGTTCCAAAACAAGAAGTGCAACATGCATGCCATATTGAAGTAAACTTGGCCCGAAACATCAGCGTCCGCGGGGTTTGGGGTTTGGTGGATTTTGAACGATCAGTGGCTGAGAACAATTCGCGGCGTCCACATTGGGGTTACGTATCTTGTGATGTGTATTCTGTCATTCTGTCGAATGAGCGTTGTACGCGCGCTGTAGAATCTTGCAAGGACGCAGGACGCTCAAACACTAGCATCTTATTTCAACAGGAACAAGTGAATGCTCCAATCAACACAAACGATTGAGGCATTGGCTTTACACTGCATGTCGTTATCCCTGCAGGGGAGGGCTTTTGCTTCCAAGCATGAGTACAGGCAGTTGGTATTGCTAAAGAATGCGAAGGTGTCTACAGCACCTCAGCCATTGCCACGGGCTAAGCTTGGCCTTGCACCTTGCACTTGAGCTGCCACACCTTGCAACTTGATGCCTGAATCAATTTAGATCTCGTCTCGCGCATAGCAAGATGTGCAGAGCACGTGAGGATTTGGATCCGGTTTTGCAAGGTGGCCGTGAAAATTGATCGGCTCAAGTAGGGTCAGCAGCGTCAGTGAAAGGCTGCCAACGCGTGGTCGCTTTGTCTAAAGAAGAATGCGGAAGACCAGTGGGAGAGCTGAAGCACGTCACCATTCCCTGCCCTTCGGGGAGGGGTGCGTGTGGGAAGGATAGCGTGACAGGTGAGCAGGCCCCTCGCCAGGCACTGCATGCTCATAGTATGATGCATATATGCGCGGTAGGCACAGCATTGCTATCAGCACAGATTTGTACTTGAGCTTGCAGGCCTGACCAGTGTGTAGCCGCTGCCGCACCAGACCACACCAAAATGTACCAGAAAGGGTTGTCTGACCAAGGCAAGAGAGGACTTACATCACCACGCGTGGGGACGAAACTACCGCTTTGCCGATATCTGTACGGTCGACGCTGCCTCAGCATCACGAAAGCTCAGGCAGTTTCTTTGTAGGCATTGTGGGCCGGCGTGTCGGGATCACTGCTAGTGCTTAGGCAGGCGCCTACAGCAAGGCCATCTCCGCGTTTTGAGGTGGTTGTGCACTCAGCATGAAATCAATCGGAAGATTGATAAGCAACGCACCTATACTGCGTGTCCATGGGGTCTGCTACGACATGCCATCCTGCTAATGTATCTGTTTCGTTAGTGCTGTTTCCTTACACAGTGTACACGGGGTTCCAACGAAGGGGAGCTTAGATTGCTGGACCTGGAACTGCGCAGCTCGTAATTGATGCGGATTCACATGAGCAGGGTCTCTTCACGCTCTCTTTTTCCAACTGAATTCAGCGGGGCATTCCATTTCTACGACTAGTCTTATATTTACCTGGCCACAAGAATCAACAACTTCTATCATTCCAAGAACTCTCATGGCGGACGTCTCCGGTTCTTGAGTACGTCTCGTTTAACTCTTGGCCAGGTCACCTGCTCATCAATGCTATACATATACTTTATCGTATTCTGTGGTCACTTTCCTTTTCAGTCAATTGCTCACAAGACTCATGAAGTTCGTCTGATTATTATTACTATCAGCGGATGCTATGAATATCATTTCGCTAAATTTAGTTGCTCCCCATTAGCCCATGTAACCGAAGCAGATTGTAGGGGCGTTTGGCACACCTCGCTCATTACATGTCATGCGTCTGTCAGAATAGGAAATTAAGACGCAGAGCTCTAGCCTTTTCTTTCCTCTCATTCGGCTTGTTTTCGTATTCTTCTTTCTTCTACTGGATTTCCATTTACCTTTCAGTGCGCCGTGAAGAGGATCAGAACGCCCACGAATCATTCTCAATTATAAAGAAGGCGAACACCAAGATGAACGTAGTTGTGCATTGTAACCTTGCCCGTGCTCATCCTCGTGAAGCGCCGAACTATGCCAACTGCTGTCGCTTTTGAAGCCTCGTTGTGAGAGCATCCTCGTCGAGAAGTGCTCGTGGGGTGCATAGCTGTCGTAGATTTTGGGGTGGTTCTTGTAAAGTGCAAAGATGTGCGAAGCTTTGGTGGCTTTAAAGATGTGCAAAGCTTTGGTGGCTTTTGGAGCCTGGAGCGTCGACTTATGTAGTAGTACAAACGTAGTACAGCAGTGGCTCCAGACGCGACGTCTTGTAGTGCAAAGTGCGCGGAGGCGTCCGAAGCTCCTGTTGGCAGGAACGACGACTTTTGTGGTATACACGCAGTACGCATCCAAAATCTCCAGCGGCTCAAAGGCTCAAAGGCTCAAAGCTCGACTTTTGCAAACGTAGTACGCGCAGGGCGTCCAAAGCTCCAATTGCTGGAAAGTCGACTTCGTAGTGCAACCACTGCTGAAGCTCGAAGTAAAGGTCCGACGATGTGTCTGCTTGCGCAATGATTGTTCTGCCCTTCTTCCTTTGCTTCTTCCACTTCATCATGACGTGTTCCTTTCCTGTAGAAACATGGAGCAACAGAGGTCGTCGTATTCAAGTATGAAGGAACTGCAGGCTTCACATCCACGTATAGAGGGAACAGAGATTTCTGAATATAAATCACCAGCGTCCCCTTATGAACTTAGAATGGGGCCTTTGAATACCCTTGATTTACAGAAAGGACTGTTGTGATGCGGAGGTTTGGAGTGGTTTATCGTGAAAGAGAGCAGGTCGATCTTTGTCCTGCCGCAGCTGCGGAAGGCTGCGGGGTGACAGCGTGCATTGAGGTTGATATTGGGCGTTTTTCGTCGGCACCTTACCAGGATCATCTCTTCCACAGAATGACCGCCGCTCAAGGCAATTGCAAGCCAACCCTGCAGTAGCATGTCGTGACAGAAACTTGTCATGACGGCGCTTTGCAACGAGCAGACGTAGCGTTGGACACTACGGCCAGCTGATAAAAGATGCTATGCTGACATTAATTGGGGTTAAGCGATTGAGTTCTCTCTTTTCGATTGAAGTACATTGCGTGTTTCCCTAGCTTCAAGCTTCAGCAGGTCTGAGAAGGTCCAAGCAGGTCCCAGCACAGGTCATGTCAAGCTCCTGGCTTGGTCGCCTTGGTGATGGTCTCCTGCTGTCGTGGCAAGTGGAGAACCCTCCGTGCAGTCCATGGGTGGATTCCCCAACAAGCCAATAAGGCACGCTTCCATCGAACTTGCTGCTTCTGCTAGTTCTAGGTCTCCGGAACCCAGCGTAAGCGATCAAGCCAAGTTCTCGAAACGGCTTGCCAGCTTGGGCAAACAAAGCCAGTGGGCAAGCGCATTGTCGGAATTAGTGAGTGCACAGCTGACGCACATCAGTGCACACAACGCAGTGGCAACCGCCTGTGCCAAAAATTGGGCCTGGGCATCGGCACTCATCTTGATAGGTGCTGCTCGACACCAGACACTTCGGGTCAATGCCAGAACTTATGGGGCAGGTGCCCTTTCTTGTCAGGTCGCTGCTTCTTGGGAGCATTGCACCCAACTTCTGATGGATGCAAGCCTGTTAGGCATTGAGGTGAATGTGGTGTGCTGCACAGCATTGCTGCATGCCTGTGGGCAAGCAGCAGAGGCAAGCAGGGCTTTGGCCGTGCTTAGTCTGATGAAGGCTACCGCAATAGAACCAACGCAGGTCAGTGTTGGTGCTGCAATGAGTGCTAGTGCACAGGAGGGGCGGTGGAAAGATACCCTTGCTCTGTTGAACGAAGCAGACGAAGCACGTATGCGACCTAACCTTGTTTGCTGCAACGCGCTCCTGACGAGCCTGGAGAAGGGGCGAAGGCCTGAACAAGCAATGGCAGTTCTCGAGAGTATGGAACGTCCTGAACGTCCTGCGACGGAGTCAGAGTCAGATGAGTCAGTGTGGCTTAGACTCCCTAGACCTGATGTCATCAGCTACAGTGCAGTGATCAGTGCCTGTGAGAAAAGTGGTTCTTGGAGATCGGCTTTGGCTCTGCTATGGCGTATGCAGGCCAGAAGTCTTCAACCCAATGCTGTAAGCTTCAGTGCGGCGATTTCTTCATGTGCAAGGGGTGGTCAGGGTCAGCTTGCGCTGCAAGTCTTGCGGATGATGCAGATGTGCTTGCAGCAGCCCAACTTGGTGTGTTACGGTGCTGCAATAAGTTCTTGCGAAAAGAATGCGGGCTGGGAGCAGGCGCAGGTCCTGTTAGAGGAAATGATGAGTGAGCAGTTGCAGCCAAATCTAGTATGCTTCAATGCCATGTTGAGCTCGCTCATGATGGCTGGCAAAGGTGGCAGAGCCACTAGGTTGCTAAGCTCCATGAGAGGTGCGTTGCTGCAGACTGACATCATTAGCTACTCTGCAACAATTGCAGCGTGTTCCAGAAAGCGGCAATGGTGTGAATCCATAGAGCTCCTCCGTTTAATGTCAGAAGAAGCGGTGGAACCGACTTGCATTGCCCTCGAGGCAGCGTTTGCGGCATGTGAAGAACATGGGAAGCTGGAGCATGTCCATCTGCTGCGTCCGATGTCGGAGCACGCTCTCGATTCTTGCAGATCATTGACGTAGTCGAAGTCTGAGCAGAGCAACACAGAGCCGATACAGAGGGAGGTCGCATGCCATTTGTGCTCACCCTTTCCTGACACCTTGGTTGGCAGTTGAGTCGGCAAGCTCGAGTGCCGGATGATGAAGCTCACGATTGCGGTTTTGGTGCTGCTTAGAGTTTGCTACTCTTGATCTACTTGTGATGGTCGTTTATGGACCGGCCTCCGAGCACACGGACGCATCATTGCCATCCACGGCACCAGGGACCAAGCTTGCACACAGCCCTTGGCACCCATCAGCAAAGGCAGACTTTGGTACATGTTTGTATATTTTCGGCATGCTACACTGCAAGACGCCAGGTGGTCGACCCGGCTGGCATCCGAGCAATTTGCAAAACACCTTGCAAAAAAGGTTCCGATGTTGCGGATGGCATGACCACCACAAGCATTGTGCCAACAAAAAAGCGAGGCTCGTCCGTTGCACATACTCGACCATGCTTTGTGTCTTGAGAGGTTGGTCAATGGTGCATAGCACGGCTTCAAAAAAGGTTGGTCGAATCATGTGCTGACCCAGTTTGGCGGGTCAGCATTGTGCAAGGCGGCCACATTATTTGTATTTTGCATCCCAGCAGTTCGGCTCATCGTGACACCTCTATAGCTCACATCGTAGCCAGCGGTGTGCCCTCATGGCCGCCAAAGGAGATGTCGGGACCTGACCACACCACATGCGCAAAATACCCGAGCACTGTGCATAACGTGCCAGACTCGAGACTTTAGGCTTCCAGCGACTTGCGAGCTCTGCAGAACTCCTTTCAGAACATGAAAGTTGAAGGTGAATGCCTCAGACACTGTCGGAACATGAAACCTCTCAGCCCATGCCTTCGATGGAGGCAAGAGCGATGATGCCTCCAAAAAGGCCGTGGAACCCATGCTGCGAGAAGGACTGTGCGGAGCGGTCCCTGCAACAGTGTTTCTGGTGAGGCTTCATTTACCTACAATGCAGAGCGCGTGCTTGGCAGCGGCTCTTTCGGAGTTGTTTACCAAGCCCAGGTGGGCACCTGCCGGAATGGCTTCTGCTTCAGAGAGCAGAAAGAGAGTAGACTTGTCGAATGAATGTGACCGTCGACCTGCCTCAGGTGGTGGAGACTGGCGAATCTGTTGCCATCAAGAAGGTTTTCCAGGCATGGTGTGGATCATCATGATCATCCACATTGCCCCCTGCAGAAGCTACTGTTTCTGTGATGTTATGCAGAACCGCTTTCACTTTGGCCGCTTGCTGCACTGCTTCAGGACAAGCGATACAAGAACAGAGAACTACAGATCATGAAGGATGCGCCGGCTTGGCCACGGCAATGCGCTTCTTTCTCCTTGTCAAGACCTCCGCATCCCTTCAAATAGGTTCCATTGCCTCTGAAATGTCTCGCATTGCTGCCCGGTTGGATCTGCAAAGTTCGTCCACCCCACCATTTTCAAGCAGTGCGCCCCAGACTAGACTCTTGCAGGAGTTGAAGCACCCGAACGTGGTAGAGCCCGCTGCTGGAATGTGTGTTCTGTGCTATTCTGTGCTGTTTTGCAGCACATAAGTATGCCAAGGCTGAAGCATGCCTTCTACACGTCTGGAGAAAAGCCTGGTGAAACATATCTGAATGCAAGAAGCCCAGAGGCAAACAGTTCGACCTTGATGGGCCTTGCAGTACCTTGCTCTGCGGTATCACTCGACCAAGGTTGTGATGGAGTACTGCTCGGTGCAAAGCCCAGTATTGTCTCTCTCTGATTATCATGATGTTGTTGTCTTCAATGCTTGAGCAGTCCTGGGTGCGAGTCTTGACCAGGACACAGTTTACCGTGTCATGAAGCACTACAGCAAGATGAAGCAGCCGGTTCCACACATCTTCGTCCAGTTGTACAGCTACCAGGCGATCGGTGCTCAATGTATTCTCGGCCTCGGCACCAGTTAAAAGGCACAGATTAGAATTGGAGTATCTTGGAGTCCAACTTTTGGAGACAGAGTCAAGGAGTCCCACTTTGGAGTCCTACTTTGCGCGTTCTCTGCACATGTGCTTTGCATGCATGCTAATTGCCAGATGGGTCGGGCCTGCGCCTACATCCATGCCGTTGGGTGGAGCCCTGAGACACTGCATTGATATCATTGACTTGTGGCAGTCGAGAGGTCCCCTTATTGATGTCATCAAAGCATTTGCATTGAGTTCCTCGGCTTGCCTTCATGGCCAGGATTTGCCACCGCGACATCAAGCCACAGAACTTGCTGGTTGACGGGCACACTCATGCATTGAAGCAGCGCCGGCACTTTAAGAAATGAAGCAATGATCAAGCTCCGACTTTGAACACGGGCTGTTGCCTGCAAGCAGTGCGAGCGGCATTGAGCAGGTTGTGCGATTTCGGGTCTGCCAAGCCGCTGGTCAGAGGGGAGCCAAATGTGGCTTACATTTGCCCGGTGCTTATACGGCAGTATACGGCAGGGAGGTAGTCAGGTACTCGTAATACGTCTTGCTGAGGCTTGTGGTCAGTCACGGCAGTTAGTGTAGTGATGCCCCTGCAAGGCTCCAGATACTACCGTGCTCCAGAGCTCATCTTCGGGGCAACTGATTATGGCTTTGCCAGCACCTGAGTTCTGGGGGCAGCTTGACCATGCAGCCGTCACATGGCAACTAGCACTCATTCTAGTACTCTTATGCTAACTTATTCTTACATGTCAATGACCAAGGTCATTGACATTTGGTCAGCAGCCTGTGTCTCCGCAGAGCTCATTCTTGGTCATCCCATGTTCCCTGGCGAGAGCGGAGTTGATCAGCTGGCTAGCGCCTTAGCGCCTTAGGGTTGAAAGCCGATGTGGTGTGATGTTGGCCAATATCGGCCACCCCCCAGGTCGAGATCATCAAGGTGCTTGGCACACCGACTCGGGAGGAGCTCATGGCCATGAACCCAAACTACACAGAGTCAGCGCCTTCACAGGGTTGGTGAACACAGGCTAACAACCTTGACACCTGTTGAAAGCCGCAACTTTTTCGAGGTTTAAGTTCCCGCAGATCAAGCCACACCCGTGGCACAAAGTTTTCAGATCGCGCACCTCTCAGGAGGCCAGAATTTCCATGAATGTCCTGAGGCCGACCGGGGGTAGACCTAGACTGCATCACCCAGCAGGCTGTGGACTACATCTCCAAATTGCTTGTGTATGACCCGAAGCTGCGGCCTACCGGGTTGCAGTGTTGCATGCACGTGGCAAGCTTACCACCAGAACTTGCTCGCTGGGCCTATCATGCCTATCTCAGCCTCGCAACCAGCGTTTGCGTGGCCAAGGCCTTGTTCGATGACCTCAGGGACCCCAATACGTGCGGCAGCCCAGATTGCATCCTAATGGGCTCGACGATGCGCGACTGGTGCGCAACTGCCAGGCGCATAAGCAGCTCAAAGCCTCTGCCGGACAGCTGTTAAGAGCGGGCTACTGAAGCGATTATTATGACGTATGATGACGTGATTGTTTGCGGTAGCATCGGCAGTTGTAATTCAAGCAGCTATTGCTTGTGTGGCAGGTATTTCAGTCGATCAATGCAGGCCATGTCGCCCTGCTTCTCAAGTTGACATGATCGCGACAGGAGCACCTCTTCGTTTTCTCCAAAGAGGAATTGGCAGGGAGCCTCACAACTATTCCAAGACATTGTGAGCCTGTGATGTGTTACATGCTGTTGTTTGCTCTGTTGTCGTTAGCATAAACAGATGGAGCCCAGATTGAGACTCAGGCTGCGATGGATGCCGACATGCAGAGGAAGCTCATCCCTGCTTGGGTAGCCCAGAAGGCCTAAAGAATCGACTGTCATGGCTGGAGACTTCGCAGCTGCAGCTTGTAAGCGCCGCAGGCTGACAAGGGAAAGACACCTTGAAACGGCTCCAATGCACAGATTGCAGCGATGGTAAGCGTGGCCTGAAGCCCATGCCGTGTTGTGGAACTGCTGGCTTCTTGCTGAAGTGTTTCAAAGGCTCTCTGCCATGTGGCATGTTTACTTCTGTGTTTCCAGTGTTGCTTCTGTGACGGGTGAAGACATGGAGAGAGCTACGAATGACGATCAGCCGATCTGGCCAATAAAGGCTCCAGTTCGGGACTGACGTCATGCTTTGTCCCCTGAAGGCTGTGCGCTGCCTTAAAGTGCATGTCCCTTGTGTATATGCCCGTGTTCAGCTGCAAAAATGTCATTGAATGTCCCCTTTCGATGATCGCTGACTCAACAAGATGCCAAGCGTAGCGGGACAAAACTTAGGAGGCAGGATTTCTTTCTTCCAAGAACAAGGTAGGAGGGGGGGGGTGTGTGCACCCCACTGGGGCGGAGAAGAAAGAGACTGGGCAAAGACCCGAGTCCATGCAACAGAAAGGACATGAGGAGGCGAAGGGGCAAGGCAGAAAGGTAGCGGAAGGCATAGTGGGAAACGAGGGACAGCCAGGCGCCCTAGGTTCGACATGAATACAAAAAGGAAAGAAAGCGAACACGATGAAGCGGCAAGGCTCTTCCGAGCGATGGCATGGCGAACGTGGGCAAAGATGTGATACTCTGTAGACAAGTGTGGCAGGTGCACTGGTTATACAATTTCAACGTCCTGCGGTTGTATTGTTTGACTACAAAGTGATGCAACTTGTGTGTGTGCTTGCACGTGATTCATTCTTCTTGAGGTTGCGGAAGTGTAACGCCCCTTCCCACGTGTTAGAAGGGATAAGCTTGGCAGAGTCTGCGCACACCGTAGCCTTCGTGTTTGGACTCGTTGTTGCATGGTTTACAAGGGTCGGGAAGCAGCCGGCAAACGGCTCGAACACACTCGAAATGCAAAGCGCGGCGGGAGTGGTGTGTGTGTGTGGCTTGACATTGGCACACGGTATTTGGTAGACGACAAGGAATGAGAGGGTTCACGCAATGCTTTTGAAGCATGTGCTGCAACAAGGCACAGATCATGCGCGCATCACCAACCCAATAGCTAAGCAAGCTTGATGGGCACTCTGGGGATCATCTAGGGTTGGGCTAGGGATGCTTTGCATTGCATCCCCGTCCGGTACAATCGAACCTGACGCTATCTGACGCTTAACCCCGAACAAACGAGAAGAGCACACACTCCAATGAAGAGCCCCGCTACAAGGTTTCTCGCAGGCTGAGACGCAACCCGCAACACATTGCTGGAGAGGTTTCGTGGTGAAGGCCGACAGTTCCAAAGGATCTGGCCCCATACAAGCAGCTCCGGGTTCCCTTTCATACAGTCCGACGACCATCTAGATGTCCAAAACGTATCAAAACGTCTCTACCCAACGCGATGTGACGGCGATGTGCATTCAAGCATTGTTTCGCGAAACGGAAGGCCAGAGTGCACGGCAGCCTCAAGTGTAGAGCATTTGGAATCTTCCTGCTCTGCCTTACTCAGCCATAAGCTTCATAAAGCATGAGCGGTTCAACAGGTCGAGCCAAGCTGCCAGGGTGGGCACGCGGCGCATCATGTCGAAGCCGCATCGATAAATGGTAATCCAGCCAGCAGACCAAGATGTCGGCTTGCACTGTCCCAACGACCTTCAGCAGCCAGAGGCAACAGACCAGAGAGGGCATTAGGAAATCAACCAGCGCACAAAGAGCACTTCCACTGCTGGCTTTGCAAGCAGCGTTTAGACCTCAGCTCCGCTGTCCACGGTCGTCATGTGTAAAGAGCATAGGACATCTCACTACCAAGTCTTTCAGGAGATGGATGGTGCACCGCCTGGGCCCTTAGACTAGTGACGAAGTCCGTTCATCTTGGCGTCACATCCTTCCGAACACACTGACGGCTTTGAACTCAGGTCTGCGCCTGTTCCCAGCGCTTTTCGGTTGCAGGGCATTTGCTAGGCGATGGCAAAATGCCATGAACTCATGTGGACAAGTGCAGGTGCCTGGTCTGCCGCCGCCTCCAGGAGGTAAGACGCTGAAATTCTATCAGCAGAATCATTGGAAGTCTGTGCGTTCCAGGACTTCCGGGTGGCTTACCAGGTGGATTGCCTGGAGGAATGCCGCTGATGATGATGCCAGGCAGGTCATTTCAATGCGCAGACAGCCTTCTTTGGCTTCACTTTGGATGCGAGATGATGCGAGTGAACTGCAGGGAGCTGTGCGGGCTGCCCCTCGCTACCAGGCTTTCTACAAGCATCTCAGCTAATGATTCCCTTCTCTGCAATTTGCGGCATGTTGCGGCTGGAGGGCGCGGATGAGTGCGAAAAATATGACTGTGGCGTGTGCAGTGCGTGCTTGCATTACACGTGGGTCCCTATTGGGGGGACATGGGCTTTCCAACACTTTCCTGTTCCTCTGTGCTCTGTAATTAAGGTGCCTGGCGCTCCAGGTGGAGCTCCAGGCGCTCCGGGGGCAGGCGTGGGTCCCAATGGAGTCTTCCCCGGCCTCGTCATGCCGGGCTCGACTCCGGGCTCCCTGCCGCCGGGCTCCCTTCCGCCGGGCTCCCTGCCGCCGGGCTCCCTGCCGCCGGGCTTCGTCTTTCTGAACGTCAGGCGAGCCACAGATGCCTTCGCATGCCTTCTCTCCGATTCCCTCCGCTGCTAGAAAAACACACTCGCAGATATTCGCAGCGCTTCTGTCAGATTATTTGTTAGATTCTGTCGCAGGCCACCTGCTGCCGGTCGGAATCTTGGTTCTCATTGGCGAGTTGATTTTGGGCAGTCGGCTGAAGTAAGGCGAGGCAGAAAAGAAGCGGAGGATAGAGCCACGTCGGAAGGACGCAACTCAGCAAAAACAGAACATGAAGACTTGCGACACCTTCGGGTCCGCCAGAACATCGCAGCGGAGTCATGCTGCTCTGGACTCAGGTGTGGCCGGTGTTTGTTGGTAACATTTCCTTTGCTTGAGCCTCAGTGCTTTGCTATATGTGGCCGCCATTGGCCGAATGTAGGTCATGAAATGTAATCGAAGCTCCTGTGCAGGACACAACAGAGGAAGAGATTCGGGAACTGTTCGGCTGATGCCTGAGGCTTTTGACAGAGTGACAGTGAGATCATGCTGTCCATGCGAGGTGATATCGAGGGTTTGGTGTCTTGGAGGCTGTCCATCCAAAAAGATGGTGCGGAACTCGACGTTTCGAACTCCGAGACAGTCCGGTTTGTCTACTTGAGAGCCGTGCTCTTTCAGTTGAGCGGCATGAAACCGTCCCCACTCGAATCCCACATGCCCAAGGGTTGCGCGACCTCAGAGCCACCAGAATGTTCAGAAATGTTCACAATGTAGCAGGCTGTGACAGTATTGCATGTCTGAACGCCAAGTTGAGTCACAAAACAGATGGAAGGGAGTAGCAACGAGCAAATGCTTGGCCAACAACACGTCCCTGCCTTGCAAGACTGTGCTTGGTTGACACACAGGCACACAGGTGCCCAAGTTATCCCGTCGGGGCCCACCAGGCTCCTTGGATCTTTCGATGCTCCGAGGTGTTTCTCGAGGATTTGGCTTTGCCGAGTTCAAGACCCCAGAGGGTGCACTTGAGGACATCTGCTGTGATCTTGAGTGCAGCACGCTGAGTTGAGTTTAAGTCTTAAGTTGTCCATGAATGCCTTGGAGTCACCATGGTGCCCTGTTAAATGCACCCACTCGCCTCTGTATCCCACCGTGTCACGGACGCGTTGTTTGAGGATCACCCTTTCAAAAGCGCGAGGTGTATCCAGAAGTTATGGAGTATATGCTCTCCTCATTTACATCGGGTGGTGTTCAGTCTGTACTGTAAAAGCTTGCTCTTGAAATAGGTACTGTAGGGAGGACCAGTCAAATGAGTTTGTGCAGCCGTACGCAAGCAGCATCTTTTGGCTGCAGTGCGACTGCAGAAAGGACGAATTTGATGTCCGACATGCGACTGCGGCCTACCCCTGCTCGTGATACTCGCGCCAGCGAGCACGTAGTTTCCGGATTGCGGAACTTCAGTTGCAGAACCTACGTCATGGTGTGAACCGCAGGACTAGAGACTAACCTCAAAACCACCACGAAGCACAATGAGATGCTGCTGTACCAAGAATCTGCAGAGTTTTGGTGGTATACTGGTGGTGGCAACTATTTGGCCAACTATTTGACAACTGTGTGTGATGAGCCCTTGGTGTGGGGCGTTAGCTGTGCGAGGTGGCGTGCCGCGATGCAGCAAGATGTGGTGTGGTGCTAGTGGTTGGTGGTGGCGGGGGTTGCTGGGGGTTCGGTGGGTGGCGCAACGTGCCATGCCACGCCGTGAGCGTGGTGTGAGGTTGTCTGAGATGGTGTGAGGTGGAATTGGGGTGCGACGTCCACGACAGATGGCGCAACTCCAGATATCTCAGGTGTGAGTGGGTGGCACGGCAGTGGTGTGTGCATGGTGTGGTGGTGGGGCTGGATTCGTGCTGGATTCCTGGAGTTGGACTGCTGAATCTGCTGGAGCGCGACAGTCATAAGTTGAACGTTCCAGGGTTCAGTTGGTCAAGACGTAACAGAGGCTTTAAGCGTCTATTTGAGGCCAAATCTGTGTGTAAGCGCAGAACGATGAAGCATGTGCAGTCTTGGCCCACAACTGCCCAACCCCTGAGCGGAAGTTGCACCCCGGGACTGCGCGCGGCATTGCAATGCCCCGTGCTCACACTCACTAAACAGGCCACGCTGTAATCTCAAGCCTGTTGTCAGCGCAGGGCATCAAGAAAGTAGATGGTATTGAAATCAAAGGTCGCGAGCTCAGCATGTCGCAGTTCTTGTTTATGGGCCGCAGGAAGCAGTAGAAAGTCAGTCCAAGGAAGAAAGTTACGACTTCGATGGGGAGAGAATGCTCCGACCACCCCTGAGGCCGGTAGACTTGGGCAGAGCTTGGAACAAACGGGGTCGGGTAGGGATCTTTTTTTCAAGCTGCTTCCACTAGTACTCGTACTCCG